CTTAAACAACTTTACCCTATTCCTCTGTTAATAAATTTTAAAATATTGCAGGAAAATCATATCTATATGCTAAAATAGAGAAAAACCTGAAAACCTTAACTCAAGTAAGATAGCTTCCAAAAGTTCTACAGAATTCTTTTTTAAAGGGTAAACATAGGATTGTCCCAAGCTCTCTTGGAAAGCTAGGTTCCCAGTCTCTTTTCAGTCTGGGTATTTATAGTAACACACCTCTCTTCTCTCCCTACTATCATTCTGATGTCTCTTCATTCTCTTGAGTACAAACCCCCATGACTGAATTGGTTCTCTCCTTCTTCCAGCTCTAACTCCAATAGGGTGACCAAATGTCCAGATTTCCGTAAGACTGAGAGGTCCCCCTAGTTGCAGGAGCTATAGTTCTAAAACCAGGACAGTCTCAAAACAATAGTTCACTCTGTATCTTGCTACTTGTATCTATAGATATACAGACATGAATTTTAAAATTGTTTCAGAATGTGGCAAAGAACTTTGAGCCAATGAAAAGATTTGGTTATTTGATGATTTGTTAGTAGACCCACCAGACCATGAAATTCTCAGCACCTTACCCATTGCCAGTAAGTTCTATGTTGGGAGGAGGTTTATCAGTGTCACACAAAGTTCTCCTTTCTGAGTTCTCACATCTGTCTTCATCAGCACCATCCTCTTCACAATCAGAATCCCCATTGCAAACCAATGATTTGCTGATACATTGTCCTGAACAAAAAAGAAATTCCCATGCATATTCAAAAGAGGGAAAAGAGGCAACACTACCTGGATCAAAATTGTTTTGTCCCTCACCCCCAATACTGTATTAATGTGAATTTCAGATAAATGCTCAGATTGGCTAGCAAAGGACTAGTGGTAGTTTTTGGTCTCCATGTTGCAGAACACTGAATTACTTCCTGTATAATTACTTTTCATTTTGCCATACACAAAATTAAAAATAGGACCTGAACTCAAAATTCTTAATTCTCACACATAATCAGCAAGCAGTTTTGTCTAAATCCTCCAAAATTCATACAAATCTAATTACTTAGAAGGTAGATTGACACCCTGCCCTTCAACTTTTGATTTCTTTTCTGAACCTATTAACCAAGATGCCAAATTTGTGTATTTCTTGGTGATTTCAAATTATAATCTTTAGCATCTACAGTGTGTAAAACCCTTTTCCTGGCACTGGAGTATAAAATTGAATAAAAATGGTGTTTGTCAGACTGTTCAAATGCTTTAAATTCTAATAAGGAAGGCTATACAGACATAAATCACTACAGTTCAGCAGCATAATTGTAATGATAGCTATAAGCCCAGGATACTAAAAAAAGCACTGGAGGTACCAGATGATGGAGCCCCTGCATCATTTCTACCCATTTTCTTAATACTTCTCTGTGTCCTAGTCACACTGGGCCATTTGCATGAATAAAAGGCCATGCTTCCTCTCATCTCCAATAATCTTACACTTACCTTTTTCTCTGCCTGGGAGGATTTTCTTATCCTTCAAGAATCGAGTTAAATACATTTCCCTTCTGAACACTATTCCTACCCCACAAATTATGATGTATGGTTTTCCTGTGTCCTCATTGGACGCTTTGTGAATAAGTGTCCTCATAGTATAACATATATTCCACTCTCCTGTCACTCAATTCAATGCAGCAGACATTCATTGAGAGCATGCTATATACTAGGCACTCCGGGTGCCAAAACAAAAGAAATACCATCTGTATCTTCAAGGAGTTCAGAGTCCAC